CGCACTGTATTACAATGATAAATGTCCAGCTATCAGTCACCAGGAAGCCACTTTATTTTTGGCTTTACTATAAAGCTCTGGTAGATAGCTGTTCAGCTGAACCCTTTAAATAAGTTAAACTCACATTCAGGGTTTATTTGACTACAAAACACACTCAACGAATCCAACATCTGAGATTTCACTCAGCACAATTCAGAAATGTAACACATGATAATAAATACAAGCACATTAAGTAATCAATCTTGTTAAGTATTTTGATAAGAAAAAAATCATACTATTTTCATATTATCTGTGGAAAATATGACCCAGCAGAACAAAGTACTATAAAGAACTGCTGAAGGTGAAGATCACTACCCTTCAGGCTGAAGATCTGTTCACTCTAGTCACAGGAGTCCACATGTTCAAAATCTTCTACTCATTTCCTGGTACAGATATCACTGCTAAACCCTGTTATGTTCTCAGGTAAGTTTTAAGGTTTATTCATAAGATTATAATTTCTTTCTCCAATGCATATCTTCAAAAATCTTTCTAATTTATGATTTCTCTCCTTTACATCTCAGTTTCCTTGTTTTAAGCATTAAGGGTATTCCCATTTCAGAGCTGTTAGAGGGTCACATGACAGGATGCATGAAGAACCCCAGCACACATCTAAGCTGAATGGAAGCTCAGTGGCCATCAGTTCTCTCTACCTGACTTAATCTTTGCAGATCTCTTTTCATTTCCTTATAGCTTCTTTTATTTTTTTTTCTCGGTTTGTCATTAAATGTAAATAACTACTAGAGAATTGTCTATGTGTTTACAAATATCACTCTATTTGGACTAGTTATGAAATTAAATTTTGCACTTGTTAAGGAATTAAATTCATGAGAACAGAGAGACTTATTGTGCTGGCTAGTTTTATGTCAACTTGACACAGACTACAACCATCTAAGGGAGGAGAAATGCTTCCAGGGCTGTAGGCACACCTGTAGGATGTTTTCTTAATGATATGGGAGAGCCCAGCACATGGGCTGGTGGTCCTGGCTGTTACAAGAAAGCAAGCTGAGAAAGCTATGGGGTACTAGTCTGTAAGCAACACTCCTCCATGGCCTCTGCATCAGCTCCTGCCTCCAGGCTTCTTCTTGGTTTGGGTTCCTGTCTCAGCTTCCCTCAACAGACTGTGATTCAGGATATATAAGTCAAATAAAGTCTTCCCACCTGAAGTTGCTTTTGGTCATGGTATTTCATCATACCAGCAGAAACCCTAAGATATATATATATATATATATATATATATATATATATATATTTCAAGTAATATACAGAATCTCATGGTGATTTAATTCTGTGTGTGTGTGCACTAATGATTATGTGTAACAATTTTCAAGTAATACCTGACAGGTAAAAAGGAATGTGAGACCTAAAAAGCAATTTAGCCAGAGACAATAAAATAACCATCCAAACAGTAGTTTAAAGAACACACTGTAGCAGAGAGGAGGAACTTCTACTTAGAATTAAAGATAAGGTGGATACTCGGCCCAAACTTAACCATTGAGTTGAGCATTATGCGGGTGTTATTGTGGGTAGTGTGCATCTGGTAGAAATCATGAGGTGAAGGCAAGGACATCTGGGTATAGATGGGTAGTAATGTAGAACATTTCACTATTTTTTAACAAAAAAAAATGAGCACTATTCTAGAATCAAAGGATACAATCACAGTAAAACACAGGAACTATATTATGTATAGGAGACTGAAAAGTCATGAAGAACCAGACACTGAGTCTGAGCATGAGAAAGAAATTACAATGAGCTGGGTTACTAGTTTTGATACCAAGCTGATGGTTTAATAATTAGTCATTTTCTAGCATATCTTTTCTCTAAAATCTAGATTCACAGGTCCAATGAATATAGAGCTTAGCTTCTTGAATACTAGCAAGTACCCAAAACAGCATAAAAGGAAAGCTGGCCTCAAATATTCCTCCTACCTCAAACGTTCCCTACCCTAGTCTTCATTTAATAATATTTTATTTCTTTGAAAATTTCATACAATGTACTTTTTATCATATTCACTTCCCTAACTTCCCCATAACTCCTCCAAGATCTACCCATACTTTCCTACCCTCCTCCAACTTCCTGGTGTTTTTTTTTTAAATCTATTCAATAACCCATCAATTCCAATTTAAGTTGTCCATTAACTTTTGGGTATGGAGCCATTCTAGAGTACAGTTGACCCGCCAGGAGTCACACCCTTAACAAAAACTGATTGTACCTTATCTGGAAGCCACCAACTGTTCATGGCTCCTCAATTAAGAAAGAAAGCTCATGAGCACCTTCCTATTCCATGCTACAATGTTTTCTGGACTGATCTTGTACAGATCTTGTGAGGCACCCATGGCTGCTATCAGCTCAAGAGAGAAATATCTTCTTCATTTTATTGTATAGTCAGTTCATCCCCTCAGCAGCTCAGAACAATGGAGAAAGTCCTTCCTTCTCTCACATTCTGTAGTCAACACATTACTTGGTCTTGTTAGCCATACATTCACAATGTACTCAAAATCCAAATGCTTCTTCCTACCTTCACTAGGGAGACCCTCACATGAGTCATCCTAATTTGTCATCTGGACCCCTCTGCTTTACCCCTTTCTCTTCCTTCAGTCTTTTCTAGTGTGGGAACCATAGTAAGTTTATAAAATGCAAACCACACAAACATTCATAACAAATAACTAAAAAAGTGTAAATACACTGATATAATATGTACTTGGTTGAAAAATGGTTATGCAGTTATCTAGAACAGGAGAAAGTTGGCAGTGGTGTTAACAGTGATATTCAATAAAGAAATGAACCTTAGTTATGAAGAGGAAGGGATGATGTAAGAGTATGTGTATCATAGGAAGTTTAGACTCTACGCAATGGTCAGGGGAAGGAGTAGAGGAATGAACAGATCCAGATTTGTGTGCCAAGGGTCACACTTATTGTGTGGAGAGAATATCATTTTTGCTGGGTGTGCCGGCATAAATATCTTAGGACTATACTAGGGAAGCTGAGACAGGAGGACAGCAAGGGCAAGGCCAGCTTAAGCTGTGCTGTGAAGCTCTGTCTCAAACAAAACACAACCCCCCAAACAACAAAAATGCACATGTCAAACAACCAGACTGAAAAGTGAAAAGCATGCAAAGGGTCTTTGATACCCTAGGCAAGGGGCAATGCTGGCTTTAATTAACATAAAGAAGAAGAATGAGAGACAGAATGAAATAAATTTGAGATGTAGTAAAGATACAGTAGGAACATAGGAGTAATACTGGACAGCGAATATCAGTGCCGACTTCTTCATTTCCCACTTGGATGCACCTCCTACCAAGACAGGACACAGAGAGACAGTATATGTCAGTAGGTGCAAAGCAGTTATTGCTGACACATTGAGGTTACAGAATGTCATGGTAGCCAGGCAGCCAGCTAAAGCTCCTTTTTTGCAACTAGAATTATGAGAACGAAGCTGACAAAAACAAAAACCCAAAACCAAAAAACAAATCTGACTAGAAGATTCAAATGTTAAAATCATTTATTTATATGAGGCAGATAAATGCTATTATTTAATCTTATCTGAACCAAAATGTGAAAATTAATCCCTAGTGAGAGCTTTAAGAAGCAGAAACTTAGAGGAGGCAGAAAGTTTGTAAGTGATGACCACAAGAAAACAGTGCTTTCCAGAAACAACAGGGAAATCACACATATGAATTCAGAGACTGGGAAAGCATGCACTAGACCTGGACAAGCACAAAGCAAATAAAATCCCATCACAGAGGGAGAGCAGTAAGCATGAAGTTCTACCCTTAGCTAAACACTATCACCATTTGGTAGCGGCTCAAAATCAAAGGGTCAGTTTTCTTTCAGAGTGTGAACCCTTGTAGGTCAATTCTCTTGGGCAGGCCCCCCACCCCAGAGTTTTTGGGAAACACAAATTGGACTCAATGTATTAAAAAGGGAGGGTTGTCTGGGAGTAATCAGGAGTGAATCTGATCAAAATACATTGTAGGAAATTCTCAAAGAATTAGAGTAATATTTTTTAAAGAGAAACTGAGGAGCTGGAGAGATGGCTCAATGGTTAAGAGTTCTTCCTGTTCTTGCAGAGGACACAGGTTGGTTCCCAGCACTCACATCGTAGCTTACATACATCCTTAACTCTAATTCCTAGGACCTGGTGCCTCTATCTGGTCTCTGTCAGCACCAGACAGACAGAGATACTCATAGACACACAAACATAGACATACAGCACATACATACATATATGAAGGCAAAACACACACACATGAAATAAAAATAATACTAATCTTTTTTAAAAAAAAGCAAAAAGTTAATGTGACTTTGCCATTTTCAAGATGGGGGTCTTCAGAAGGCTATGAGGATTAGATAAGAGAAAGAACATGCACACACACTGATTGATGTTGACCGGATGATGTCATGTCGGGACCTAAAAACAAAAAGCCATTACCAGTTACATTTCTTTGATGTTGGGGCAGAATAATGAGTCAAAATAAATTTTTTGCTATAATTTTCCCACTTTTTTTTTTTTTTTTAGTTTTTCGAGACAGGGTTTCTCTGTGTAGCTTTGCACCTTTCCTGGATCTCGCTCTGCAGACCAGGCTGGCCTCGAACTCACAAAGATCCGCCTGCCTCTGCCTCCCAAGTGTTGGGATTAAAGGTGTGCGCCACCACTGCCCAGCAATTTTCTCACTCTTACAGCAGCACAACAGAAAGCAGACAGACGTAGTGAGATAGTTATGAGATGATGAGACGAGAGAGGGGCATAGGATAAAATTAGAAAAGTGGGCAATGCAGCAAAGAAAACCATTTCCGCTGGAGACCAGAAACAAATGACGGTCACAGCATCACATGGTATGAAGTGAGAGAATTTTCAGATGGGGAAACTTGCACATATTGGCACTTTACACACATGGCACTATGACATAGCACCTACGTACGAGCTGGACATTTCGCAAACATCACGATATGTAAAAAGATACCTGTATATTCCACGGAAGGGAAGTAGCACTCAGAGGGGTTTTCGGTGAGATGAAGCACAAATTTTTCAAGTAGTTCTCCTAAAGCTGTAAGGAGCATAAGAGCAATTAGGATTTTAAGTCAGGAGGGGACAACGTGTGACAATGCATCTTTAAGTCACAGAGTAGCATGTGAAAGTCACCTGAGGCTGGGTGGAGGGAGGAGAGGCTGCAGGGTGAGAGAAGAACTAAAAAAAAAAAAGTCATCTGAACTCCATGGTTCTGAGGAGTTCAATTCAACATGCAGACTTGTATTAATATTCAGAATGTTTCTGATTTCAATTAAATTTTAATAACTTCTCTGTGAACTTATTCAACATATAACTAAAAAAGAATTATGCATCATACTTAGATTACCTAACGACTACTTCAGAATTTGTTAAATGTTTTTAATGCACTCATGAGGTTATCGCATTTTGTCATTTGCATACAGAATAAATACTGAACTCTAGGACCAGGATTACTGCGCAGCGCAGGGCACTTTCAAATCTGCGACATATTATGCCTTTCCTACTTAGCAGCTGATGGTATCTGATCAAGGGCCGATCAAACAAAGCCAGCATTATCTGACTTAGAAGTGATGAAATGATTCCTTTCTAGGCTGGTGTGGTAAAATCACAGGGTTTGCAGATATCCTACAAATGGATGCCCCAGAGGATTAGAATTAGTATGCAACCCAGAGGAATTTGTTTTGTTTCTCTAAGGAAATCTATCTGTACAGTAGCTGACTGATTAATGATGAAACAAGTAATCTGAATCACACTTTAAAATTGTGCCCTTCTCTTACTTAGACTGTGAACCATGACCTTTATTAACTACATGGGTCCTACTTTATATTCAAGTAGATTTTAAGCATATAATTCTTCAAAAAAAATTAGTGTTCAACGTGTAAAAACCATATAATAAAAAGGAATGGTGTGGTTTTCCCTAACTGTAGAGCACACACTATAATATTTTGATGGCTAGAGATGAAAATGAAATGTTTTTATTCATTGAACTCTATTCATTATATGATTTCAAAGTAAATACATCTTTAAAAACATGAAAATTCAATGGTCATGGCTTAAGAAATATCTCTGTATACAGATTTCAGTTTGCAAATGGTTGGGCTGGTTCCATATTTACAAACACAGGCATAAATCTATCATATTTCTAAAACTGTTTCAAAGGTCTTTCTTTTATAAATCCACATATAAGGTCCCTAGGTGACAACTTTTAACATCTATGTATATAAACTTTTGAGACAGATTTTGTAGAAGGACAATGTAACAAAGTTCACATATAATTATTCTTAATTTCATGGTTAAGACTAATGATCTAAAGTGCAAGATACACAGTAACAAATATTATTCAGAAACATAATTTTCAATGGAAATGTCCATTTCAACCTTCAATTACAAGTAATTATCTTCTTTGAGCACAATGATATTTGCTATGTGCTATGTATTTACGTATAATGTTTGAAATAATGCGACAAGTCAAAGCATATTGCCAAGCAATTACTGATGTGAATTCTCTATTCAAACAAAGCACGATCTCTTCAAACACCAAAGGTTTTGTTGCTGTTTCTGTATACAGGCTCATACATCAATCTGCATGTTGCTTTGTTCACACCAGAAAGCACAATATTTACTGATATTGGAGTTTTTAGATTTGCCACTGACACATGAGGCTTGAGCAGAGACAGGATGGGTCAAAGGAAATCTAGAGAGAAGCACAAGCCTGTATTCCTTGCTACAGTGGAAACAAAGTGAGATGGGAGATTCTGCTTTCTAATCTTCCAGATACCAGGGGGCAATTTTAAAAAACTTATCTTGGTTTTTGTATTTGGTTTTAAAGGCAACATACTCAAAAGACCAGCAAAATCTCCCCAAACCAAAAAAGTATCAAAGGTCACCAACATCCTAGCTTATTGGTGAAAGATTCTAAAACTTAGGGTGCAAGAAGCAATTCTTAATGTTAAAAAGAAATTAACTATAGAATATTGCCCTGAAAACAAAATACAGAATATTGTCTCATCTAAAGCATATATTAATCTTAAATGACAGGTCTGAAATTTCTATAAAGGATTATAATTATGGCCTTTCTACCTTTAATTATGCCTGTTCTCTGGGGTCAGAACATAGTTAAAAAGACCCTAAGATTATATTTATAGGCCTGAAAGAGCACATGGGGTTTCTGTAGATGAAAAACTGAAGGCAGAAACTGAAGAGAACCTATGTGCTGGCTTCACTTATCTTTTGACCTTGTCCCACCCCAACCCTGATTGTACGACAATGTCAGTATTTTCCCAAACTCTCATATTATAATACCCAACATGATTGTATTACCCCCCACTGTTGTGGGATAATCTTTTTGTACACTGTGGAGATGTGTCTTTGCTAAGGAGCCTTTGGATTGGTTTAATAAAGTACTGAATGGCCAATAGGTAGGCAGGAGAGGATAGGCGGGATTTCTGGGGAGAAAGAGGAAGAGGAGGAGGAATCTAGGCACAGCAATTTCACCATCAAGCTCAGAGCAAGTCTGATGTGCCTATAGAGGAGAGGTAATTAAGCCACATGGCGGAACGTGGATTAAAAAAAATATGGGCTAATTAAGTTATAAGAGCTAGTTGGAAACAAGCCCAAGTTATAGGCCAAGCTTTCATAATTAATAAGAAGTCTCCGGGTTGTTATTTTGAGGCTGAAAATCCAAAGATAGCCTGACAAGAAAGCCTGCTACACCCTGCCGAGTCTAAGGCTGCTACGGACAACTGGTCACGACAGCCATTTTTCTTCAGGAGATGGGGAAGCAAAGGGAGAGGGGGAGGGAAGAGAAAGAGACAGATGGGGTGGGGGAGATAAGAAACTGGAAGGACAAAGTAGTGATGGGGAATAGAAAGGACTTAGAGGAGGGGGAATAGGAGGTAGATTTGATCAAATATTAGACAAAATATATTTTCAAAGAGATGAAATATCTGGAAAGTGAGCAAGGAGAGCCCTGCCCTTATGAATGAGACCAGCGCCCTTAGAAAGTGGTTTAAGGAGAGGCGTGGCCCCGTTCCATCATGAGAGGAGGCAGAGAGTGTTTGGTCTCTGAAGCAGACAACAAGCCTACACCAGTCACGGAATCTGCCTGAACCTCAACCTCTGTCTTCCCAGCTTTCAAAACTGTGAAAAATCAATTTATATTTTTAAAGTTATAGCAAACTAAGTCGCCATCACCACAGCAACTGGTTCTGAAACAAGAAAAACACAGTGCATGCAAACATAACCCTGTCTGCTGGACCCACTGCTCAAATACACTGAGAAATGACTATATGACTGCTATCTTATCACAGAACATGAAAGCTACATTAAAGTTCAATTTTCTCCCTATTAACCTGCAGGTAGAGACCAGATACTTTGTTCTTTAGACCCTTGCATATTCAAGAACATATTCTTTTCCCTCATGTCTCTACTCCACAAAATCAGATTTCTAATTGTGTAACAACATAGACAATGCAACTCTATCTAGTTTTTGATACAAATTATTGCATGCACAGCCATCCTCTTATTCTCGGTGTTTTCAGGTTGTTCATCTTCATTCTTTCATTTAAAAGTCTGTCCTATTTTGTATAATTACAGATTCGTGAATAGTAGAGAGAGCAAGAAGGAAGAGAACATCCTTTAGCCATGCTGTAGGGTGGCCTTCCTTCAATGAGAACATCTCCATCTCTCTTCATGTCTGAGGGCAATTTCGGTGTGTTGACTAATGTTCCACTTCCAGTTGACCTTCCTTCATCTGTCCTGAGAGGTCCACTCTCTTCTGCCCTGCTTATCCCTAGTAGGAAAGACCCTGACTCTCAGCTTCCAAGACTTTCTTGTCTTGCTTTTGCAAGTCTGATGTCATCATGTTTGAGTTGGGGTTCTTTGCGCTTCTCCATTTAGGGTCTTCTTAGATCTTAGATCTTGTATGATCAGCTCTCTTAACAAGTTAAATTAATAAATGGGACCTCTCGAAACTGAGAAGCTTTCGCAGGGCAAAAGACACAGTCAATAAGACAAAAAAGACAGACAACAGAATGGGAAAAGATCTTCACCAACCCCACATCTGACAGAGGATTGATCTCCACAGAATATAAAGAACTCAAGAAACTAGACATCAAAATACTGAACAGTCCAATTAAAAAATGGGCTAAAGAGCTAAACAGAGAATTCACAAAACAAGAAACACAAATGGCTGAAAGACATTTAAAGAAATGCTCAACATCCTTAATCATCAGAGAAATGCAAATCAAAACGACTCTGAGATACCACCTTACACCTGTCAGAATGGCTACGATCAAAAATATCAATGACATTCAATGTTGGAGAGGATGTGGAGCAAAAGGAACACTCCTCCACTGTTGGTGGGAATGTGAACTTGTACAACCACTGTGGAAATCAGTATGGCGGTTTCTCAGAAAATTAGGAATCGAACTACCTCAAGACCCAGCCATCCCACTCTTGGGCATATACCCAGGGAATACTGATTCATACCATAAAGATACATGCTCAGCTATGTTCATAGCAGCACTATTTGTAATAGCCAGAATCTGGAAACAACCTAGATGCCCATCAACGGAAAAATGGATGAAAAAAATGTGGTACATATACACAATGGAGTACTACTCAGCAGAGAAAAACAATGAAAGCATGAAATTTGCAGGCAAATGGATGGAACTAGAAAAAATCATCCTGAGTGAGGTAACCCAAACCCAGAAAGACAGTCATGGTATGTACTCACTCATAAGTGGATTCTAGAGATAAAATAAAGAACAATCAGACCACAACCCATAGAACCATGGAGGCTATATATATAGCATGGAGGTCCCTAGGATGTCTGTGGCTTATAATAAATTTCGGTTTTACTCAATTATTGAAAAAAAATAGCCAAATGAATGGAAACACATGAACTATGAACCAAAGGCTGAGGGGCCCCCAGCTGCATCAGGCCCTCTGAATAGGTGAGACAGTTGATTGGCTTGATATGTTTGGGAGGCAACTAGGCAGTGGGACCGGGTTCTGTGCTCGTTGCATGAATTGGCT